CCTAGCAACGCCGTTGCTAAGGAAACTCTTTTCGCGCGGCAGTTGGATGAAATTTCATCCGACTTTTACAGCTGCGTTGAGCCTGGTTTGTGGCATATTTACCTTCGTTGCGTTACATGTACCAGACGGGAATGCCATGTACTCTTGACATGATCAATTTTTGGAGGGTTTTATAACGTATTTTGTTAGATAAATGGTCATATTTGCTTAACAGTGAAATCGTCAAAATGGCGGTGCCGAACTGAGCTAAATTTTCGACGAAATTCACATTGGGGGCATTTGCATGTCGCCCTCGATTCTGTCTTATATGACCATTGAGTAAGATTCGTTGAATCTTTGACTATGTCTCTTGTGAAAATCTTGTTGGATCAAAATCTGGAAATGCTTGTATATTCATATCTACCGGGGCCACGTCCTCGGCCGTTTTACGCCAAAAGTTCTAAAACGTTGGTTTAGTTGATTCTAGGGCAACCGGCGTTTTAGCACAAGTTGCGGTACTAATGTACCTTCTCAATATTGTCAAAGAATGCCTACAGACACAGACTACGTAAGTACGAACTGAATCAGCAAATGCTTTCTTTACTCTTGCAGGTATTATTACTAAAATCCAACGGTGCGGGTCTGGCGTCTGGTCTGTGGAACACGCTTGAAGCCCGCGCTGTTTTTGGAACGAAAACGACGCCTCTGATGAGGTGGCCTCGCGCGATTACGAAGGAAGCTCATAACGTCCCCAAAATTGATAACAAATTATATACGGACAGAGAGTAGAGACTTCAGGCTATTTTACGCACTAGATTTCTTTTTGTTGTGAAAACTGAAATAAGGTAAAAACATCGGAGGAATTTCCACCAAAATCAAGTGGTTTCAGGTCATATTATCAAACGAGTAGAGGTTAACAATCGTTTTAAAAAGTCACTAGGAGTAAATAGGAATATTAATATTCACAGATACAATGAAATAATGAAGATATATAGTTATAAACTCAAGCAACAAGCTTTGTAGTAAGAGGTCCGACTCCCGGGGGTTATAGAACGTAAAATTGTCTCAAAACGGCGCGCGGTTCGCCGTGAGAGTCAATCATAAATCTTAAGGTCAGATTTATATCACTTCGGGTTTGTGAATTGACTTGAAACTCGGAATCCGTACACAGGAGACCATTGTTAACATAATTCCACATGAAAATTTACGTTCTACGGAGCGAGGACCTGTCCAGCGTAGGTGATAACTAAAAATGTCAAACCGGGCTCGTTCTATTCTGGAATCAAAATTATGACATGACCTCGCGCGTTTTGGGGGCATCTGCATGTCGCCCTCGAAATCGATAACAAGTTATATATCAACACAAACTAGAATCTTTGCTCTTTCATACACACTAGATTTCCTGTTGGATCAGAATCTACAACAAGTTAGAAATGAGAAGGGGAATTCCACGAAAATTACCTGCTTTCGGGTCAAATTCTTGAAAGGATCACGGTATGCCATTGCTTCAAAAATGTATAGGAGTAACAAATGAAGCTTACACATTACCAATAAGTTAAAGTTAGGAAGATAAATGATTGCAGACCTCAGCTACAAGCTTTCAGGTAAGGCGTGTCGGCCCCCGAAATCATGGAACGGACTACTTTCTTTCGCGGAAGGAAAATAAAACTGCCTCGAACTCTCGACGTGGCGTGGCGGCTGTATAACAGTTACAGCCCATAGATTGAAGGAAACACCACGATATGATAGAACGTTTTACTGCAGAAAATGATCTTGAGCTAGACTAAATGGCAATAGAAGAGGCCTGTACACCCATTCGAATTCATTATTGCTAGTACGTACGTCGGGGTAAAAAGCACAGAAAAAGATGTGTTACGTCTACAAAGATAACTTGCTTTTCCGAGTGATAGAGTGATAGAAGCAAAATGGACTCAGCGTGCGAGCAGTCTGATATGATGAAGCCAATTACATCAACCCATGTGATCTCTTGAGACAACATGACAATTCACGTCTATTACAGAAACTTAAATTGTGTCTTAAACAATCGGTCGAAACTATTTTCTATCCCTCGTTTGCCTCATTACATCTGTGCCCTTTTGTCCGTCTTCGTATGGGCACTGGTGTTTTCAAGTCATAATTTTTTTCATCAGAGGATTCAGTGATACAGTCCGGTAGAATCTTAGCCTGGTCTGAAAAACGTTCGTTTCTGAAAACAAATTAAATTTAAAAGTGGCCCAGTTTGAGAGTTGTACGCCATCTAGTTGGAAATCAGTATAGGAGGAGTCTTTACTCACCTGTGGTTGGCGGGCTGGTGGTCCACACGGCAGGGGTGGTCGCTGCAGCTGGTGGAGAAAAACATCTTTGAGACGCCGATGAAGGATAGACATTCAGGTAGAACATTACGGAATGAATCAAGCAAATGGACAAATTATCTGAAGAGTGAGACGTTTCAGATAGCATCTGCTGTCTGTCATCAGTGATTGAGAATGAATCTGAAGACAAGTAGCTCTTTCGAATGTCATATTTCACATGATCTTTCGCGTGGACGCGTTGACGTGGGGCTCCTGCAGCGAAAGGGGTGGTGGTGGTAAAAATTGCTTCTTTCTGGCGCACATGAAGTATGTTTGCCTTCTATCAGATTATGGTAAGATTATGGCACATTTCACAGTAACCTTTAATTGCCCATAAACCTTACCGGGCAGGGCAAGCCTATGCTCACCTGTTGTTGTTGAACCGGCGGTGGTCCATCCCCACGGCCAGGCAGGTGTGGTTGCAGCATCTGGGAAAATGGGCAACGACAAGAGATAAGGCAATATTTTTACGCTAGATTTTCAAACGCCTCTTTTGGGAAATAAAACCTAGCAGATGAGACTACTGCATGCACGGTCCAGGATTCAATGTTAACAATTTTACGTCCCAACTCACATTTCTCATTACATGTACCACCACAAAGCAAAATATTCAGTATGAACATATTGGCGGGAAATATTATTATGTATAGAAAATGTGAGAATATTCGCCGTCTTCAAAGCTACTTTTTGTGGTTCAATACCAATGTTTTTACATTGTAACCGACATCAATATTATCATAAAATCAAATCAACCTGCAGTCGGCAGGGTGATCCCGACGAGCACTGCGAGCAGCAAAAGCCTGTCAGACGATCCAGCCATATTTGTTTGGCACAGTCGATCTGGTCTTCTGAGTTGGCCTTGCCAAGAAAGGCCTTCCTTTAGATCTACTGAAAAATCAACAGACAAAACAACTAAGGCAGTCATTCCGTGACAAACTAAACAAACGTAAGGCCGCAACTTGATCTTTTTCAGACGTCAATGGCACACCGAAACTAAGTTTCCAATTAACCACTTTGTCCGAGTCTTACACACAGTTACAGCTGGTATTTTCACCTTTTGAATTTGCTGAAACGTTCTTGATTCGATTTGTGAAGAACTTCTAGGTGGACGCATTCCCAAACAGAAAAGTCTGCGGTACCGTCATACCTTAAAAAATAGCTGTCTAACTTGGTTACTGCCAACAGTAATGGCAAGACTAAAATGGGACCAAAGCAACGTCGTGAGCTCGAGGCTGCAGGTAAACATGAAAGTGAAAACGATGCCATGAAAGCTGAATTAAGTTTCACTTATGACTGGACACTCTCTATCAGTATAGTTAATAACATGCTTAAAACGATAAGAGATGACTCTTTATTTACGCTCGCACAACTTAAACAATACTTGCAATCCCATCATTATGTATGAGAGCAAAGAACTCAGAATTAACGTTGAGTTTGTGGACCTGGAGAGCTTATAACAATTCAAATCTACCAGAGAAAGGGAGCTTGGTGTTTCGATAAGTCAGAGGAATAGGTTACAAAGCGCCGCAGTATACTAGTTACACCATTTGAACTTGAGTTGGGAACATGCACAGTCATCTTTGTCTATAGCTGGTGGCTAGATTACCAAATCGGAATCTGGAGTACTCAGATCACATACCTTCCTGGATTCTACAAAACCACTGCAGTGCGTGACAACTTTCTATGGTGTTGGCAAAGTACCTTGCTTTGCTGAGTTGTAGCGAAGACGTTCTTCCACAGACGCAACAGACCTCTTACTACCTGCGAAACTAAGCGATGGTAACCCGGTCTGTATGGGGGATTACTGTCGGTGGGGTGCTCAGATTTCATTGACAATGCCCATTACGGTTCCACCATGGTGACAAAACAAGCCTCCAATACCGAAAGTAGTAAGTGTCACGTACATGTACCACATGGAAATGATCATGAACAATGACAGTTTCACATGATGAACTACTATTGGTTTAGTTTTCATAATCACTTGGACAAAGTCATCAGTGACTTTACTGTGTGTACGTGGTTTTTATAATTGGTAGCCTATACATTTTCTTACTGGCTGAATAAAATACTACAGTAAATGTTAGTAAAAAACTCTAGACACGCTCACTGGTGTCACTCTGACAGACAGGAGCCAATAGTTGCAGGTGGAGTTATCACCTAGGCTGTGCTAATGCATAAGGCACATTTCCAAGGGGGCTCCTTCCCTGTCCTGGTGGGGCCCCTTCAATGTTTTCATAATAAAGCTAAAGCTTGGATCCCTGTTGGTTTGACATGGAAGCCACAGCAACAGAACTACTGTACCCGGTGAGGCAGGGTGGACAAAAGTTCTACATGTGTCTTGTACATGTTTTGTATTATACATATACATATCAATATTTAAAGGACATGAGCATAAGAGTCCATGTCTCAGTCTTGTCTTATCACAGTGCTTTATTTGTAAGAAGACTGCTTGTCTAAGAAGATGAGATTCTCTAGGTCCCCAGGGTGGACTGGTCATCTTATCCACATATAAACAAACATCACTGTAACGTTGTATGTTTAAGGCAATTTCAAAGAAGGATATTTTCAGTCTGAGCATTACCAGTTGAGTGTTTACATGTACTTTAGTAAGGTACTTTGATATATGAACCTCAGGGTTTGTGTAGCTGCTTAAGTTCACATGGACAAGAAAATCCCCATAAAACATGACAGGTCAGGAACATGTAACACAGTTTTTATTTAAACAAAGAATGTCCTTTGCTAGGAGTTAGTAGCTTTTATGTCTGGCTTGAAAATGTACAAAAGAATCCACAGTCTTTAGTTTGCATGTAGCCCCCCTAACTTAAGTCCTCTGCTATCCTGCATCTTTAGTCGCCATCCTGCACACCACCACGTCCACCAGCTGTCCAACCTTCCGCTCAGCTTCCGATATCTTAAACAGCTGAAAAAAATCAAAGGTTGAGATATTACAAAACAAAACATGACAAAAAGAAAATTTCGTTGTTGATTTTTACTTCAAATGGATTGAAGTAAAAATCACATAGGCTAGAAGTTCAGCAAAACTGAGTACATGAGATGAAAGTGTACCTTGATTATTTTTTGCTCATCCATGATGTCCTTGAGGCTCTCCAGGGGTATATGAGTACCCTGGATGATGTTGGAGACCTGCTGTAGCTGCTGACCTTGAAGGTCATTCAGAAGGACCACAAGGACGTCCTGACGCTCTGCATCCTGAACTCCAAACTTCTGGTACGCAGCAAGGATCTGCATATGTGTTTCGTATGACAAATTTGTAAGAGCAAATTGAGGAATGCTCTGTCATAGCGTAAAATATCTTGACAGCAAAAAAAAATGCAAACACAAAACAAGTTCTATATCAGAAACAGCAACTCACATTGTTGCCAGGTGATAAGTTGAAAAGGATTTCCCCAAACACAGTTTTAGTTTTCTTCTTGTCCAGTTTGTCCAGATGGACAGCTTTGTTCACAGCAACCAGGACTTGGAAAGGGTCACAAATCTGTGGGAGGAAAAAAACACACGAGTCCTGTCGGCTGTGTCGTATATTACACATACCATCAGTGCAAAATTAATGTAGGCTGTGGACAATGGATTACAACAACTGGTGAACACATTTACTTTAAGTCAAAGAAAAAGAGCTGTTTAACGTTAAGTCATTTGACACTGTCTAGGACAAATTGAAAGCCTACCATCTGTGCGTTTATGATGGCAGCTTCTATGGTCCCATCCATGATCTTTCTCCTGACCTCCGACCCATTGGTGACCCCTGAGAACAGGACCATGCTGACTTTCGTGTCAGGGTAAAGGTCAAGAGTCGTGCTGACCTCCATGGTGCCAACTGACCTGCTGTGATGAGTTCATATAATAAGCACATGTTAGGCCACATTGATTTAGTTTTTTGGTTCTAAACACTTTAAAGTAAGTATTAAACAAAAAGACAAAATAAAAATTTTAAAGCATTAACCTGAACTTCATCATCATGTTGCTCTTACCGGTAAGCATTCTTTTATATCTAACAATCATATTGTGGCCTTATGCATCATTATGCAAAGAGGAACCTCCTTGCCTTATGGTAACGTTATATTGCCTGAAGCAATAATCAATAGACATAAAAATTTCGGGATAATGATAATGCTCTCTAAAAAAACTGTGACAGGAATAATAACGTTAACATTACAAAGTCAGACCGTAACACTAAACTACGCTGTAACCCTGCCATAACGTTATATTTTGACATACATACAGAAACAGTCTTCTTGCCTCCGAACGTACCACGTAGTTTCAGCTATGACCTTTACTCTTTCACCCACAGGTCACAACTGGAGGTTGCAAAATGGCGGCCGGTCGGACGTTCCCGGCGGTTCTGTCGGCTTTTGTGGTCGTTTCTGTGGCCATTTCTGCCCGGATTCACCGGGCTCGGCCCACCCCGTACATGGACGAGATATTCCACATCCCACAGGCACAGAAATACTGTCAGGGCAAGTTTACAGAGGTAAGAACACACATTTTTCTGTCATGTTAGGGACCGGTGCAAACGATCTTTGACCGGCAGGGGGGCAGTGTGGGAAGTACTTTACTAGTATAACGTCACGTTAGTCGACGTTTCGGTCGTCTAAGTAAACAACAAACAAACAAACAAACAAACAAACAAACAAACAGACAATAATAAAAAAAATCCAAGCGTTTTGCCAGAGCTGCGGTACGTTTGACCCAGGATAATTTTTCTTGACCCTGTTTACTGTGTGACTAGTATAGATGTAACGTTATGCATTCTGTTCTTGATATTTAATAGCATTGGTTATTAATAGAAGACTCCTTGGACATATGCAATGGTGAATACATTACATTTTCATTTTGTAAAGGGGGAACTTCTTTATTGTCTTATTCATAGGTTATTGTCAGACACATCAGGACCTGATGTGTTTCAGCAAAGTGGCTCCAAACCGAATAGATTTTTCACCCGGGTCTCTCCCCTCCCTCACCCGTCATTCAGCGATTTATAAGACATCCTTAATAAATCTCAAGTAGCCCAGCCCAAAATTCCACCAACACCCCCATACCTTATCTTGGTCAGGAATACCAATGCCATACATGTACTAGTGAAGTTCAGGTCTACAAGGACGGAGCATGGAGGGTACAGTTGTGACCTCTAAAAAGAAGTAATGTTTCACCCAGTAGTAATTAGCCGTAAGTATGTAATTTACATTATGATGTTTGTTTGTTTACAGTGGGACCCCATGATCACAACATTGCCAGGTTTGTACCTCGCGTCTGTCGGGCTGCTGAAACCTGCTGTGCTGCTCGCTGGGGTGAAGGTGAGCGTGGCCTGCTCCACGCTGTTGCTACGGGCAACGAATGTTCTATTTGCAGTGGGGAATGTGTACCTGCTGTGGGCTATCCTGAGGAAGATTCACGGACAGGTGAGCCTTGAGGCTGAAGACTTACCTGCTTTGGGCCCTTAAAATTATTGATCATGCGAGTTGACAAAGCATTGCTTTACTGTGGTGCTAGAGTTTGTCTGATAATTTACAAAGTGGTGCCCTGATGCACTTCTCCATTATGTGTAAAAGTTTGGGGAAAAACATTTTGTCTTCATATGCAGACCCAACAATTCTTGCTGTATTGCTTGTCACACTGTGATGTCTGATTGATTGATTGATTGATTGATTGATTGTGTTTCCTACAGACGACAGACCCACTCCTGCAGTGCCTGAATGCAGTGACGATCGCCAGCCTGCCAGTTCTCTACTTCTTCACCTTCCTATACTACACTGACCCTGGCTCCACATTCTTCACACTCTTCATGTACCTGCTCTGTTGCCATGGGAACCATGTCCTGGCTGCCATGATGGGGTTCATGGCCGTGATGTTCCGACAGACAAACATCGTGTGGATCGTCTTCTGCGCAGGTGTCACAGCTGTCAACCTGGTGGAGAGGAAACACCAGCCCAAACAAGACCCAAATGTTTTAGTCACGCTGTACAACAGCATCAGGACAGTTCTACAGTACCTGGCCACCGTGTCACACTTTGCAAAGGTCATTCTCGCACTGCTGCCTTATGCCATGCAGGTTGTCGTGTTTGGTGTGTTCGTGTATGCAAATGAAGGCATTGTAGTCGGGGACCGAACCAGCCATGAAGCCTGCCTGCACTTCCCACAGCTTTTCTACTTTTTCTCCTTTGCCTTTGTGTTCTCCTTCCCCCATGTCTTATCTCTGTCTCAGGTGTCCCAGTTCCTTAAGTATGATAAGAAGAAGATGGCACTCCTTCTCTTCCTCCTTGTGTTGTCGTACGTGTTAGTGGACAGGTTCACGTACGTCCACCCATACCTGTTAGCAGATAACAGACACTACACCTTCTACGTGTGGCAGAGAGTTTTCCAGCGACACCCGCTGGTGAAGTATGTAGTGCTGCCTGGGTACGTGTACTGTGGCTGGAGCATGTTCCATCAGCTGGGGAAGACCAGGTCCCCCCTCTGGCAGCTCGTCTTCTTCGTCTGCGTGCTGGTCGCCACAGTTCCCCAGAAGCTGCTGGAGTTTCGGTACTTCATCGTGCCATACCTGCTGTACCGGGTACATGTACAGGTGACATGTTACTACAGGCTGCTGGCAGAACTGATCCTGTACACCACCATCAATGCTGTCACCATCTACCTGTTTGTTGAGAAGCCATTTCTCTGGCCAGACAGTTCTGAACAACAACATTTCATGTGGTAATCACCAGAAATGTTTAGAATGCTAACCCTCAGATTGTACCCACACATTGGCACTGGTGCAGATTGTAGCACCCCCATCCCTCTCGGTTTTTAGGTAATTTAGGACAGACATCAGCACTTCTTGTAATAATGATAAAGATCATGTAATCTCAAATGTACAGGAAAAGTAGCAAAGCACAAATTCTTCTTACTACCCTCATACTATCATAGATTTTTTTTGATTCAGAACTATGCCTAATCTGGCAGCTATCATGAATTATGTATGCAAACGAAGGTTGAAATATCGACTGGTGTGAAAGATTTGTATGTTATTAGGTTGTACTTCCCTGTTTGTTTCCCGTAATTTGTGTGACCTTGAAGGTGCTATCTGCCTCAAGACCGGTTTACTCCGAGGTCAAGGGTAGAAATTCTGCAGTGATGATCAAGTTACAAGTCTTCTCAAGATGAAGTTTTTAAAATATGTTGTCAACAATGTTGCATGATGTCTTCCAATTATTTATGAAAAAGATTGTTATAATTATGAATTTCTACAACTTAAGATATATATTTAAGATTAAATTGAGATTATTGAAGCTTTTGTATGCTATAGATGTTAGTATTTAGTTGTAATTCTCAGTGAAGTACTGAAGATTAAGGGCTGATCTTAGACTAAGTAAGAATACCAAACTGACTTAACTAAAGGGATTGGAGATTTGTCGTGCCTCAACAGATTTCAAGTGGTCAGTTTTGTAGCTATATCCAAAATGTTCTCTGCGTTTTGCTGTTAGACTTGAGAAAACTGCTGTCGGTTTGTTGTTGCAGCTTGAATGATGAATAAAAGAAGCCATGCCTACTTTTCTGTCATTTCAACCCTGATACCTGATATATGGAAGAAGAGATACTAGTACATGTATCAAAAAGCAACCACAAGCATCCCACGTGCATGTAATTCAAAGATCCATACAATATGAATAATGCATGTAAGCAGCAATACCCTGCTCATGACATGTAATCCGTTTGTTGTAATCCAGGATATGAACTGTTATGCTGCATCACATTAGCCACTTCCCATTTCTTGTTGTTCATAGGATAGGTAGAAGCTTAGTTTGGTCACATCTTATTTGATTATGATACATGTACCATTCTCCTCCATGTTGGTTCTCAACACGAAGCAGTCATGACTCAGACCAGGCAGAATATTACATAGATGAAACTGCTAGTAATCTTTTATTCATACAATGACACAATATTTTCAAACAGCAAATAAAAATTTTCACTGAATAATCTGCATAGGTGACTCTGATTGAAAAGCGATAAGTCATACAGACAATGGTGGAACACGCTGCTCCCAAATGTCTGTTTTTATTGCTCCAGTGTTCTATTCTAGACAGTTCATCTACATTTGTAGACAGAAGTGGTACAGATACAGGATGGATGAAGCAAGCTCAATGGAATCTTTGACTCCATTTTGGAAAAGCTACAGTGAGGTTTGAATTTTCAAGTCAAAAATTTGGTTTAACAGAAATGTGTCCGTTAGTAGACTGCCGCCATGCACATCTCTATAAGCTGACAAAACTTGTCACAAATGAAATATTTGCTTGTAGAGTGCCAATTTGGCTGCAGTTCAAGTTAATAATTAAAAAGATCCCCAAACGTCTAAATATAACTACATGATCACAGACATGTACATAAAAGAACCATTGTGATTCAAAATGCACACATTTTCTACCTTACACATGTAGGTATCCTCAGTCACCTTCAAAAGAAGTAGTCTGATTAAATTTGTGACAACTTTAACACAACAAGCACTGGTTAATATAGAATTTTCTCGAATTATTGCAGAGATAATTTTTCTTCACAACATTTACTAACTCTAGATCTAAAACCAAAACTAATTTTTGGAGATGACACAGACTTTACTACGTCTATGTATTACTGATGGCACATTATTGGGATGGGTACTCTATCTAAAACTAAGTCCATGACATGTTTCAGTTGCAGTAATTTATTATCAACATCTCTGGATATCTGATACCATAATTTCTGTACAGTTGCACAGGGACTCTAGGCTACACAACCGTGTACATGATTTTCTACAGAACAGTCATCTCAGCTAAAAGATGATTGTTCTGGTGGAGATATGTGATGCATATGTGGAAGGAAATCTCATCCGTGCTGAACAACATCATAGCAGGGCTAACTTTCTAACAACACTTCTAATAACCAGTGTGACCCCTTGCATAGATCAAGCATCCCTAAGGTCGTGTGACCACTGCAGTTGGGTCAGTCAGGTTGAAGCTCAAACCTTTTGCTCAAACTTTACTGAGTCTGACATCTCTGATGTGTTGGGAGGAATGTTAACCCTACCATGATGCACATGTGGTGTTTGTCTGTCCAGACAATATGTATAGGTCAGGGCCTTTGACCCCCCCATAGCCCGTAGGTTGGAACCTTTGACCCCTCACAGCCAGTACTCCACAGTGACAGCCTTGGTTCTGGTGTACTCGTGAAGCGCCTCCTGGCCTGTAGAAGTGGAACAACACCTTGTTACCATCAGCAGTTTTAATCAACTTTCATCATTGCTAACTTCAAGACTTGGAAATCATTTTTCATTGACACAGTAAGACTATGTGGCTGTTTCACACATCATTTAAAAGAACATGCTTTCCTCATAGTATGGTCTTAGGTAAGATTTATGTTTTTTCGTGACTTGACCAGATCCTTTTTGTCTTGGTGAAGGAGTCAATGTGAATGTCTTGGTGAAGATGTAATTTAAGACTTACCAAGATCCTTGCCGAAGCCTGACTGCTTGAAGCCTCCGAAGGGTGCAGCAACATCTGTCTTGTTGTAGGTGTTGACGAAGACAGTTCCAGCCTGCAGGTTGTCTGCCACGTACAGCGCCTTGTTGATGTCCTTGGTGAACACGCCAGAAGCCAGACCAAACTCTGTGTCATTGGCACTCTTCAGCATCCCATCAATGTCTCTGTGAGAGGATACAGGGGCTGGTTTCAGACAACTGTACTCAGCAGTAAAGAAACTCACTTCTTTGCAAGCTTTCAAAGCTCCAGTGAAAAATCAGTACAAGTACGAAGCTTTACTTGTGATGAAGCACAATGTTTAAAAACCCATTCATTAGAAAAAGAGGTATCTGGGACTCACTACCTAAACAAACATTTAGATACTTAGATTAATTAACAGTTGATAGATTGATTGGTTGATTGATTGCATTGATTGATTGACCCTTGCTTACCCGTCCTTGAACTTGCTGATGATCATGACAGGTCCGAATGACTCCTCCTTAGCGATCCACATGTCGTCTGTCACCTCCGTGAACACGGTGGGATGGAGGAACAACCCTAAACAACAAGAAAAAACATGAAGCCTCAACAACAAACACGAGGCATACAATACAAACATAGGGCAGAAACATCATCAGCTCTAGCACACCAGGAATGTCCAACTGTGACGGGTTCTACAACACAGGTACTGTCACCTGTTTGTTCAGTACTCAAACAATCTTGTATTGCAAGTTGCCTTTGTCAGTTTTTATTCTGCCTTATTGACCCCCACCGCTTACCTGGTCTGTCCACCTTCTTCCCACCGTACACCAGCTTGGCTCCTTGTTCAACTCCAACCTTGCAGTACTCCAGCAGGGAGTTAAAGTGAGCTCTAAAATAAATAAACGAACAAACAAACATCAGTCCTGCAAATGCCTGCCCTATAGCACACAAATACCATATAAATGGTAGCACTTACAGCTATTAAAGTTCCCCTCTATAAGTTTAAGTGAAAAATGCAAGTGCATTCAAATCTACAACTGGGCTACAAGGACATAGAAACATACATGTACATGTGTGTACAGTAGCCAATATTTGATTATGACTAGCATGTGTTTACAGGTTACCACAAAGAAAATGTTCAGAGTCCCTTACAGGTGGTTCTGAGGTCCGTGATCCACAGATCTGTCCAGGGGATCTCCAATCTTCATCTTCTTGATCTCCTCCACCTGAGGGAGAAGGAAGTTCAAAAATGAAGTCATGACAGGCAGCTGTCAATCATCCCTATCACAGAGCTTCCTAACTACCTGTTTCTCAAGACATAGCAAGCATTGAACAATTGAATTGTTGTATCTGTTTATGGTTTTGCCTAAGGTCTACAGAAAAGTAGTCATGTGAATCATAATGAAGACACAAACAAACCAACGTACCACTCTGGTGACGAACTCGTCATGGATAGACTCCTCAACGAACAGTCGGCCAGACGCGATGCAGTTCTCGCCTTTGTTGAAGAAACAGCCGCTCAAACTCTGCAAAGAAGGAGAAACAAAAAGGCCACACCAACATGACTTGTTGATATTTGGACCACCTCAAACTGTAAGATGAACTGAACTACAGGGACTACTAAGCTATGATATACGGTTTCAAACAAAATTTGGATGTTCATGTAGGTACATGGGGTTTGGGTGTAACAGTTATAAAAGGTTACAAATGATCCACAGACAGACAGACGTACCTGTCTGACGGCCCTGTCCAGGTCACAGTCGTTGAAGATGACCAGGGGAGACTTGCCACCCAGCTCAAGGGACACTCTCTTCAGGTTACTCACAGCACAACTGTTGGACAGAAACAGCACAAAAACATGTTTGTTACTAACAGCACAACTCCGGGGACAAAACAGCAGTCAATCATATAGAAAGACCCTAAAGACAAGAACCATGTCTGCCAGTAATACAGTATTCCCACCTCCTCATGATGTCCTTGCCGACAGGTGTGGATCCGGTGAAGCCGACTTTCCTCACGTCTGGGTGATCCAAGATGGCCTGGCCGACCTGGGAACCTGGTGACAACAGCAGTAACCATAGTCAACAACAACAACAGCTGTTACCTGAGAATCAACTAAATCTAGTCAATAACAACTGGTACCTGACAACCTACTAAACAGAAACTCTTAATAACATGCTCATTAACAACTACTACCTAGTAGACCCCTGTATTACAGATCCCCAGTAGTACCCCTATATACTGACCTGCCCCAGGCAGAATGTTGATGACACCAGGGGGGAACCCTGCCTTCACAGCCAGCTCTGCAAACTTCAGGGCTGTCAGCGGTGTTACCTGGAGGGAACACAGGTGGGTGAGCTGAGGATTCCATAAAGACCTCGCAAGTGTTTCTAGTGCCAAGTCTAGGCAGCTGGACATACTATACTAGAGGATTCCAGCAGGGTTGGCAGCCACATCTCCAGATCCTGTATACAACTGATGTGTTTGTTTACCTGTGCAGGCTTGAGGACAATGGTGTTCCCTGGTGTGAGCGCAGCGCCCATCTTCCACGCTAACATCATCAGTGGGTAGTTCCACGGGACAATCAGGCCGACAACACTGTGAGCAGGGACAGAGGGCTTGTTTATTTGTTTGTTTGTTTATCAAAATCAGTTTTAGAGGACAGCTAATGGGACAATTAGACATAAAAAAATGATTTCAAACTTGCACAATGTCAATGATTATAAAATTTAACTACGTAAAGTATCAGCAGAGGTCTGCAGCATGCTTACCCAACAGGCTCCCTTTTGGTGTAGGTGAGGTTGTGGTTGGGGCGGGCTTGGTTGATGGGGATGGTCGTACCCTGCAGAATAAACAACAAGTAAGCACCACAACAAACAAAAAAATGAACAGGCCCTGTAGAAAAAGTATTCATAGGAATTATGTTGTACATGTTCTGAACGACAAGTTTTTAAATTATGATTAAAGGAATTTAAATGCAGCAAAGTCAGGAGGAAGAAAAAAGAAAGTCCCACCATGATCTTGTCACACCAGCCTGCGTAGTAGCGGAACGTATCGATGGACATGCCCACGTGGGTTTTCAGAGCCAGTGTGTACACGGCACCAGAGTCGATCGCCTCCAGGGTAGCCAGCTCTTCTTTGTGCTCATCCATCAAGTCTGCCAACCTACAGGACCAGTATTAACTCATTAACTACCATTAACTATCATTAACTCATACACCACACCAAGCTCGATCACCTGCCAGTAGCCAGCTCCGCTTTGTGCTCATCTGTCAGCCTACAGGACCAGCATTTAACTCATAATTACCTCATTAACCATCATTATCCAATAACCATTATTGACTCATTAAGAACCACTATCTTGACCACAATTAAATCACAAACCATCACTAAACCACTATCATTAACTCCTTACCGTCATTATGAGTTAGTTAACTGACCTGTACATGAGTTTCCCTCTGTCTCGTGGGTTCATCTTGCCCCACGGGCCGTCCTCGAACGCCTCCTTAGCAGCCTGCACGGCTGTGTTCACATCGTCCTTCGTTCCTTTTGACACCTTACAGATCACCTGGGGGAGAAGGGAGGTCATGTCGGTCAGGTTTGTTCCTCTGATCCATGACTGCAGTACGATTTGACTGATCTGATTTATTGTAAATCCTATGGTGTGTGTTGATGTAGGCATTGATGAGTCTCAAAGGACCACGAAGTAGCATAATTCTACAGAGGTATATCTTTTTTGTTTTGAAAAAGTCTCAGTTCTTAAGCAAGTCTTCTGATCATTCTCCCTCCTGATCTGTAGCTGATTTTCTGACAGTAAGACTTACAGATTCGTCTGTGGGGTTGATGGTGTCAAAGGTCGCTCCATTTGACGCATCGACGAATTCGTTGTTGATGAACAGCTGATTGGGAAACTCCAGTTTCAAGTTGTTCACGTGCATCTCGATCTACACAGGGAGGAAAACAGCACAAAAAAAGCATGAAACTCCACATTCAAGCTGTTCTATCTATCTTTGAAAAAGAGCATGTAAACAAAATATCAATGGTACTTTGGTCAATTGCAAATTCCTTGCATGCAGAAAAATCACAGTGACAACACAGGCAGTACTTACAGCGTCGTACTCAAACTCATCAGGCTCATCCAGGCCGCGTGCCTTACGTACGACCATCTGCATGAAGTCATGGAACGTCGTGTTCATGTAGACATCCTCGTTCTGCAGGTTGACGTCAGAGCAGCGCTGCAGTACCTCCTCCACCAGCCTGGGGGAGCAGCAACATGGTGATGTAAGTATTAGTCTTGAGTCTACAGTGCGTCTTATGGCCATCATAGGACACAACAGTGTGATTCATATAAACAACCTAGAGCTGAAATATGGTGTCAGGATTGCTTACTGACCTGACCACATCCATGGAGCCGGCTCCAGCCTTGAAGAAGTCTGTCTCCCCCTGGATGTCTTCTATGGACAGGATCCCCTTCCACACATCCTGGGCACAATATGGAACATTAATCACACTTTAAAAACATGAAATAGGGTTGGAATGAGAGTCAAATATGTAAAACAAATTTCTTCTTCTGTTATAAGATAGACATATTGACATCCAATTTGAGCTGTTATCAGCTCAACCTTGAGCTATCATACTTGCTTGACCTTGTACTGTCAGGAGTTTGACATGACTGACCTTGAGCTGTCCCTCCAGCTCCTTCTCCTCAGCTGTCAGCTCCAGTGTGGCGCCGCCAGCATCGGCTTTACCGAACATCTTAGCTGGGATCATGGAGCCGTCAGCGAACTGCAGGTTCTTCACGTTCAACTGGAAACAGGTAGAAACAACAGATGTAAACAACAGGTGTAAACAACAGAACCCGGCAAAAAGAGAGATCCCAATATTCATATAGCTGGCATCACCGAGCTGCAAACCAGCTCTTCATGTTGTATATGTTAGTAACAGTACTTATAAACCATATCAAAGTTTCTTGATTTCATGATACTCAACACAGCAGAGACATAAAAACGATGAGTACTTTGTCCATGGAATTTATATCAAAACAATATGTCATGTTTGTAAAACAGATATTATCACCATCATACCATTTTCCCATCGTTGCCAGTGAAGATCATCCCGCCCTTGTGCACGATGGCAGGTTTGCTCGCACCAGGCACTTCAACCTCCGTGCCCTCCGGAACTTCCTTCTTGAACATTTTGGAGCCGTAGAGCGTGACTTGCTGAGGTCAGAGGGCAGACAGGTCAGCCAGTCAGTATGGGACACAATGACACTACCATTACGGAATAAAAACAGTATGAATTCAGTACCATTACAGTACAATAGCAGTACCATTAAGAGTAGCACGACAGTATGTCTATAGCAATGCTGGAACACAAACTCCTAGAGTCACAGCAGGCAGAACTTCCTCACCTCTCCATTGATGGTTGTCCAGGCACCCGGCAGCTTGTCGTTCCCACGGATGAAGTTATGGAGACTCTCGCCTGGCTGGTCCCAGTTGATCTGGAGCACAGCACAGAAGGGTCAGACATTTTCAGTATGAACATGTGAAACCACACAGAAATTGTGATAAAACTGCTTCAGACAACATTTTAGAAGGGTCCTGATTCTGACCTACATGTAATCATTCCATGATCAGAATCTTAAATTAAGAAACTGTTCTCAATGCAATCTACACACTGATGGTGAAACCAACACAAATCCCACCTGCACAGAGTCCTTCTTCTTCAGCATGGGTTCGTACGTGGCACCGTCCTCGCTCTGGGGCATCCGCGGTGCTTTCCCATCGGCAATCAGCTGCACTGCTTCTGCCTGGAGAACACAGGACAACTTGTCTTTAAATATCCAGTAAGTCCCTCATGGTGTGACAGCAGTTTTGGTATCAACTCTTCCTCTTCTTGTGTGGCTCTCTGGGACTGTTGTATAAGTTTATGTGACTGCAAGAGTGGATGAATGAATGGAAGAATGAGTGAGGGAGTGAAAGGATGAATGTACCCACCATAGCCTTGATGCCCTCTGGGTACAGGAACTTGTTGTACAGACTGTCCAGAGTTTCGTTCGGCCCGGCGTAGCACTCCTTCTGCAGCAGGATGGGTCCTGTGTCCAAACCGTCGTCTGCCCAGAATATCGTGAATCCCGCTTTCTTGTCCCCATGGATCAATGTCCTACAGACAGGAGAGACGCAGATTCAAAAACTCAACAAACATATAACCATATAAAATCATCCACTGTAAATTGTAATCTGGGCAGGTTGGAGGTGAGAGGTTAGGTTTGGAGGTTAGGTACTTACCAGTTGATAGCTGAGGCTCCCCTGTGCCTGGGCAGGATGGAGGGGTGGTAGATGATGGAGCCGTGTTTCGGGGTGTTGATGACGTCCATGGGGATGAACTGGGAGCAGAAGGGAAGCACGTTGAGGTCGGCACCGCAGGCCTGGTACTGCTGCACGACCTCCGGGATCGACTGGCCCTTCACGCGCCACCGCGGGAACTTGAATGTGGGAACGCCATCCTTCTCTCCTGCTACAGCTGCAGGAGGGAGACCATCAGTACAAAATCGTGTTCAAGACAAAACTGTGAAAAGCCAGGCAGTGAGACGAAAGCAGGTGCCATGAAGACTTAGCCACTGACCCACAGGAATACTTGTGTTATAATTATTTGAACCACTTATTTTTTCTTAAATTTTCCACCTTGTTTTGTAAAGGTCTGGAAGTATTTTAGACTAAAAGTAAGACAAAGTTTAAGGCATACCTAAAGGATCTGGCTTTCCTTGAAGATCTGGAATGGTGAAGACACCGACGATCTCATGACCCTCCTTCTTCAGGAGGTTGTACACCTCCGTACCGAACTGGCTCTGACCAATCACAGCGATCTTCATCTTGTTGGCAGCGTAGACCTGGTGGGTGGGGGGGAAATAAGGTTAACACAAAAACCAGGTTCTGTCCTTGTGGGTATTTGGAGCCACATCTAATAATTGAGTACAGCTGCAGGGCCCACCTGCCCATGTCATGCTTAGCCCGTGCTGAATTATATGTATGAGGCCTCAAGCTCCCATTACCATTCATATCAATATTAATAATATTAGTATTTCCCTTATTCCCATAAATTAGCTACCATAGCTACTGTTATAATTTGTTACGGGAGTGCAAAAGACCCAGTATTTTGAGTCCTGCCATTATCTCCACTGCTATCAAAGTATAATGATACGATTGTTCCTCTCCAAACTTGAGCATGAAAACCCATCCCTTTACAGACATGACTCAGACAGTCACAGAACAGTGAACTACAGTTGCTCCTTTCATGCCAACTCAAGGGGAAAACTTCAGACTCACACTGTGTTTGTCATGTTAACATCAGTGGTCTTAATCTATTAATGCTGATTTCTTATTTCAACTCTCTTATTTATCTCTTTTCAACTTTGCACACACAAAAAAACACCTGATTGATTGAACTTTTCAAATTTCTAAACCCTTACAAGCAACGAAAACAGCAAGGCCAGTTCTGAAAGTGGTCCATTCTTGAGAGAGGGTCTTGAGTAAACATCAGACTCAGAGACTATAAAAGCCCTTTAGACAGACAGTGTTTGTACAACATAAGCAGGCAGTCTCTATTGAAGCTAAAGCTGCCAGGTGCCACAGTTGTTGCCAGGTGTCAGTGCTCTAGTCTACATTTGGGGACTAAAAAAATGCCTTTTTCTCCATATCTGCACTGGTGCGGCCAACATGTTATGAGTAACTTATAAATATATTGTATGTTCTGTACCTTGGACTCGCACAAACAATGCCTTGGTACCGCCCCCCTCCTGCCCTCTACCCTCCCAACTCTCCTCCAATCTGAATCATTGTCTCAAGGTCAACACATTCCTATATACTAGTAATACCACACAGCAGTATTATGCATCTCGCATATACAGTGGTAATACTTTCTACTCAGTCTTTATTCAAAACATTTGTCTGTACTACTTTATATAACCACGTAAAATAGGGTGTTGTAGATGTTCTGCTCCCTCAGCAAAGAAGGGCCAAGGATCAGGTTCCTTAATTGGAAGGACATGGCAAAAAAGTCCTCCTGTACATTTGCTTGTGTCACCAAATTCCATATTTGAGAAAGAAGTAAACACAGAACAGCAAAAATCATAAAAAAACATGACCAGAGTATAACACCCAAGTCAACGTAAAAAAAAATTCTGGGCATTTTTGGCAATGATATGATTGCTTTTATTTATAGTTTTAATCTGTATGTATTCCTTTTTTTTTGCTGGGACAAAACAAATATACAATATGATAGTATTTACTACCACACAGTAAGTACTAGTAGTAGTAATATTGTTATGTTGTTGTACATTTTTCCTATTGGTCCATGACGGGTCTCCAGATCTAGACTAGTGCGTTATCACTATGGCAGAATGCCACGTACATCTGGAGGATGGCCACATGGGTATAACTGTTTGTTGCCCTTTTACGATTAATTTGAATATAAACATTTAAATGTATTTTTCCTCAGTAAACTTGTAATATTATGTCAGGAAATGTCAAGGAGGAAAACTAAAGATTGATTGTAAAACTTTTAACTTAAATGTAAAATATCTAGAATTATTCTAGATCTGTCAAGGAGTTGTTTGGAATTTTGCCCTATGGCTACCTCCTAGCATTACCAGGGGTGTGGCATGGAATGTGCAAGTTGTGATCTTATATTGGCAGGTTCATTGTTTGTATGGTTGTTTTATGACAATGATACAACATGACGTGACCTACTTGTTCAAGTCTCAGTACAGACCGTGAAAGAGTTATAACAGGCAAACAAACCAGCTGACATGCTGACCTCCAACTGACCCCTTACCTACTCAGGTAGTTGTTATTAGTAAAACAACCATATCTGGGCACGCATGTAAGACCCGATTAACACTGGGAAAAATATCATTTGGGCTACGTCAAACGACGCACGGTGCCACACATCTTGAGGGACAGATTTTTTGAGCGTGTAAACACGCCGCGCAGTGATTTTCCTGTCGCCCCTGGATGTGCCACAGGAAAATCGACACAAGGCGACGGCCAAATGATATTTTTCCGAGTGTAAATCGGGCCTTACATGCATGCCCAGATGTGGTTGTTTTACAAATGACTACCCGAGTAGGTATGGGGTCAGTTGGAGGTCACCATGTCAGCTGGTCTGTTTGCCTGCTGCAACTGTTTCACCTGAATTGAGACTAACATGATATTTTTGCCCCGTATAAATCGGGCCTTAATCTGCTTCTATAACGATGAACCCAGGCTAATATCCAACAGTCATGTGAACCCAGAGGAATAATACTGTGAGTGTGACCTTCTTAATGGGACTCTTCCTGCACCAGAAAACATTTTGTCCTTGAAAAGATCCCAGCTTCCCAACCTTTGCACACGTAGAATCAATAGAAAAAATGTAGTGCATAAAATCTGCTTATGAAGTTATGTCAGACAATTCCACACACCATCACACAATTCCACCCACCTGTCAGTTTATGCAAGGAGGTTTAAACCTTCTTGGTTTATGGAACCAAAGCTTCCAAACACAGGTTTCCAGGTTGTTTAAGCCACACACAATGAATATTTATAAACATGCTGGTATACCGTAAACATTGCCACGTCACTATTACAATGGAGATGGGTTTGCTGATGCGATAGTTGTACATCGAGGACACCTGTCCAGATGTGCAGGACTTCACAGAAATGCTCACTTATTCTATCCTCAATGTCATGCTTTCAAGATAAAAATTACAGTTGTGTGAGAAAATGAGAGGTGACATGTTTGGAATAAGGGGTAAAGGTTGACTGCCAACATGTAGCCATATATATATCTGGCTGTCCTGCTCCCCTCCCCACACAGAACAGCCAACCATCAATGTCACCTTGACTAGTCACGGTACCGGGGACAACAAACCAATTATTCCCTACCTTGATATCTGCTTAACCTGCTGTTTCCTAAACCGTGAAATGACAGGCCAATACAATTAAAACCCCTCAGGTGAGAAGCCGGAACAACAGCTGAGTCAGGGTGCGCTGGTGGGCGTTGCCCCTTTTCCAACAATCTCATTGGTCGTCAGCAAAACCAGTTAAAACCAGTTTCCCACCCTTTGACCCCAAACAGATTCAACAGGGGGTGTTGTCTCAATTCTGGCTTCTGATTGGCTGAAGGCCAGAATAGGCCAGTTTCAACCAGTTTGTGAACGAAAACAAGCAACAGGTACTAGTAACTGACAGACCTCGGTTTCAAATCCATTTAAACCTTGACCAAATTGTACCTATGATAAAAGTGGAATAATGCATAAAATTGAATAATAGTTGTGGTCTCCAAAATCACTCCGCATACCACACAGTGTGCATTTGTATAATTTTACTTTGTTAGAACAACGTGGTTGGTCAGAAGTTGGACTTTACAGTGACAATATTATCTTGTTCTCTTTATGACCTGTCACCACCAATCCTTGACTCTTGGACAGGGACAATCTGTTCATAAGATTACTAGTATGCAAAATCAGTCCACTGACAGTATAATATTAATTAAAACTTAATTGCAAATACATGCCTGAGGACTAATTGCAAGTATACTCATGGACATGATAAGATAATAGCAAACAATGAAGGTGATCTTAAAATAAATTAAGAATCCTCAAATAATGCTATTTCTAATATTGTTGCTAGGGTTTGATTTCTTTGCTGAATGCAGTGGAGAATGAAGTGCCAGATGTTTTGAGAAATATAATATAAAATATTGGGAGGTGGCATTAATTTATTCCATGTTTTTTTTTTTTTGCATTTTCTCCTTTCATTTGTCAACATAAATGTTTGGCAAGACTAAATGATTTTCAGTCCATGTCCAAACTGCCCAGGTGCTAATGCAGCAAAATTACAGAGGAAAGCCCTACAAAAGGTACAATTATCACCTTATTTAGCACTGTTTCTCTTTCAGTGAATAGTAACTTACAAAATTTTCACACTAGCTATATTCATTTCACAAGTGAACAGCTGTCAATTGAAAAGCTTGACATGTCAACTTTTGTTATGCATAAACTCACAACTTGTTTAGTTATCATTATTCAGCTAAAAAAAAGAGTGATAATTGCACATGCTAATTATCCTTCTAATAACAATGTCACATAAGTGTCAAACTTGGACTTAATTATTAACTTTTACTTTATTCTAAAAAGACCTTTTGATCCAAAAGAAACTATAAAATGATCTGATTTGATATAATTTTGACAAGCCTTCTGGTTCCATGTGGCCAAGCTAATCTCACATGACTGGAACTGGTTCTATTTATAAACAAGTTCCAACCATGCCAGGAGCTGCCTGTTGTGCAAATAACACTGGAAGTCAGACGAAGTAAAACCTGCTAACGAGAGGGGATGATAAATGGAGTTTAGAACGGAGTAAGAGATAGTTTTACACCACAGAAGCGGAACCAAATGCTCCAACACCAGGCTTCTTGCTAAAAATTACACTAAGTTACAGTTGTAGCAGACGACACTTTCACTCAGAACGTACCAGGATCTCAAATTATCGTGACCAACAACAACCAATCTGAAATTCTGTTTGAAAATAAACTAAACATCCTGTTAGGCGATACACAGTAAACGGGGATGTCACAGGAAAATGCATAGAAAGAGGCTGAAGTCCGGCATTCAGAGAGAGAACGAAACGGCCACGTCTTCCATAATTTGGGGGGAGGGCGGTTTGTAACGGTTCGCGAATTCGAGTCGACGATCGAAGCAAAATTAAACTCAAATCCTACCATAAAACAGGAAATAGGCGAAGATCAAGCACTATAAGGGTTAAAAGAAAGTTTTGATTTACTAGAAACGAACACTTATCTCATAAATCTTTAATTACAAGACACGTTAATTACACATTATATATAATTGATTAACTCACAAGGAACACCAAGGCTAAATTTTTGTTTACTGACCTGTGAGGTGGAGAAACCTCGTACGAACAGTGGCCGAGCCAACTGCCTGGCTGCGACAAACGCGATCGGGAAGAACATTCCAGCACAAAACTTGCGAGACAGAAACCGGCTTTCTCTTCTCTGTGGATGGGATTTTCCACACACACGTTTGCAGCAGCTGCACGCTAACGTTCCGCACAGCTTGCGCAGCGCAGGAAATTTTCCACTGCAGATGTTCAATGTTGGTCGCTAGGTGGCGCTGTGAGACCATCTATCATCACGCTGAGGCGTCGCCTGGCGGTTCATTTGTGTCCTACAGCAGGATAGAGTGTAAAAATGGCGTTCTACAAAGGAGCTGCGAGCGAAGGTAGCCGTGCCATGCGGCTCCTCAAGCAAAGAGAGAAGAAGCAGGAAGAGATCGAGCGGAAGAAGAAGGAGATAGAAGAGGTGAGGTATTTTAGGAGCAGAAAGAGAGAAGCTTTGGGACCAGAACGCCTTCAAAACCCTGATGTTTTTGTTGAGGATGGGGAGGGGGGCAAGTTGAAAATTTATGGTTGTGTAATGTTGACTTTCAACCAAGTAATATAATAGAACGTGGCTATATACACTCCCGGAGTGTATATAAAATCTATTTGTCTTTTATATACACTCCCGGAGTGTATATAAAATCTATTTGTCTTTAATATACACTCCCGGAGTGTATATAAAATCTATTTGTCTTTTATATACACTCCGGGAGTGTATATAAAATCTATTTGTCTTTTATATACACTCCCGGTGTGTATATAAGATCTATTTGTCTTTTATATACACTCCCGGAAAGTTGATAGGGCATTCGAATGATCTGTCGCCGGTGCGAAGACCGCGCGATCGGCTGTGTTATCCGGAGTCACCAAAGGGACCGGGGCGAAACCCCGGGTTGGTCTTGGTCTGATAAATGCACGCCAGACCGTGAGGTCGGCGCTTCTTCCGCATGTATTAGCTCTAGAATTACCACAGTTATCCATGTAGGATGTGACGATCAAAGGAACCACAACTGATTTAATGAGCCATTCGCAGTTTCACTGAGACAGTTTAAACTTGCACGTGCATGGCTTAATCTTTGAGACAAGCATATGACTACTGGCAGGATCAACCAGGTAGCGAGGACGCCAGGGGCGCGCGACCGGTCTCGCCGCC